GAGATTTTGAAGTTTTCAGTACAATTTCAGCCCAAACTTCTTTGCTGTTGCTATTGTTGCTGTTATTTCAGAAATTATATCTAAAATTTTCATGCTGATAACAAGCATTTCCTGATCCAAAACAAAACAACCAAATTTCACTTAAAAGTATGCAATATATTTCAAAGGAAAGTACCAAAATATAACACCTCCCCTCTTTTTAAGCTGAAAATGAAGGCTGRTAGCCGCCAGTTTGTTTTGACTATGCAATGCACTACTCAGGACAAGGAAGGTGGAGGCACACAAACTCCGTAAAAACACAGAGAACATGGAAAAGGTGAGGTGGTAGAGAGTAAAGGTAACTCTTTTAGCAGTAGGGCAGGTGGAGATGGCAATCTGCCACAAGAAGGGCTTCTATCCGGAGACAAGAAGGCAACAGGTCCCTGTTCCAGCTGGTACCTGGAGGTGGGAACACCAGGGATGTTCTTGCTGCCACTAGTTCCCAAGCTCTTCTCCATCTCAGGGCTATACTGAGACCATAACCTCGGCCCTAGCATGAGGCCCCTTTCTTCTGGACAAGGAATTTTTAGAAGTTCTTACTCTACCCACAAAGTTTTACCTGCTAGTGCAAGTGGGCAGCGCTCTCTCCACTCCTGTGGTACCTCAGCAGGACTCAGGACTCCTACCCAGTCCCCTTCCCTTCCCCAGTGCTCCACATGTGCAATGCCAATGAGCACCACCTCCATCTTGTGCTTTCCAAAACAAAAAGAGAATGTATTTTCATTCACAACTTTTACTACTTCCAGGGGATGTGAGCAGCCTTATTTACTCCAGAGAACCCCTGAGCTAAGCCTATATAAGCTCTAGCCCCTAAAAGATAAATCTGGCAAGTCAGGAGATATAGAGCAGACAATAGGCAGACCTTTGAGTCTACAAATTGAAGGYTGAATGATTGGCAAACAATCTCTCCTCATGAAAAATTATGCTACAGCAACACAATAGTAACRGGAGCCAAAAGTATGTCTACTCCTGATTTGTAGACCAGGTTTTAGTTATGCTATAATCCTCTCAGTATGCCTGCTTAGGATCCCACAATCACACAAGTCATGAACACTACCCACAAATCCTGCGGCTCCCATGCTGAGCAAGCGACACACCAGATGAAGAAGGATGGAAAATATACATGTGGAATTGTTCTGGGAACTTAAAGCATACATAACAGTAAACAAAGCAAATATGGTACAAAACCTGTTGCTATTTTCACAGCATTTGTGGAGCAAAGCTGCATAAATGCAGAAGGATGCATACTGCCTCACACCTTTCCTCAGATTCCAGCAAATTAAGCACAGCAGCACAAACAGCAGCAGGGAGAAGGAAATGCTCTGCAGAAGAGATGCCCTGTTTGCTGCTGCACTACAGGTATGTTTGGGTATGTGAGAGAGAGATGAGTAAGAAATGTTAAAATTACTTTTTCTCCTGTCTCTTCCACAGCCTTAGTTGCTCATGGATATTTGAAAAGTGATTCTTTTAGTGCCATCYTCCCTCCTCCAGGTACAGTCAAAGCCAGTTCGGAAAGATAGCTGTGGTTGTCCCCTGCCTACTTGGGGACAAGCTTCACAAAACCAGCGCCAGTTTGCTCTGATAACTAAAAGACTGCCTCTGCTCCCCACTGAGAAGGCAGTGCCACTGTCAGATACTGGAGCACCAGCTTAAGTGGCATTACAGACAAATTTTGGCTGGTGGCAGAGAGATGGCTGAAAGCCAGCTGACAGAGAAGAGCAGTATCAATCTCTCTGCTGGGGGAATCCTCTGAAAATCCTACTGAAGCAAACAGCAACCGCTAGTGGCACAGAGGCAAACAAGACACGGGTGATCCTGTTCTCATGGAGAGAAAAAGGCAAACGGCTGAACTGAAGTAATCAACATGAACTTGAACCATGGCACAGGGCAAACATGTGGCATGCCGTATGGAAACTCAGAACAAAACAGAAAGCTTGGAACAAAATTAAATTAAAAATCTGCTTTTATTTCAAATTACTCCACTAAACATCTAACTGAAAATTGTGTTGAAGTTGATATGACTTTGTGACATGTTGTTCCTTGAAGGCTGCCATTTTGCACTAAAAAAAGGTATGAAAAATGTTTCAATCTGGTTACCTTCTTTCCAGCAACACTAGAAAACGTTGTGAGCTAAAAAATAAYATCACACCATTAGTCAGCAAGAGATGGCTGTTCAGCCAGCATCTATCATAATGTTTTCAAAAATAGATACCAAATGCCTGGAAAAGAAGGACTGCAATCACTCCAAACATGGATTTTGAACTTTAAATTGCATTTGATAAATTAATTTTTTTAAAGACAGGCCCTGTCCAGCCTCACTCTATTGACTGCTTCTAGATAGTTAATCTACCTGCAAGAGGGTGATCAAATGTCCATCTCCAAAACAAATGAGCCTGAAGCATTAGGGCATTCTGTATTCTGAGGGACCATCTGTTGAACAGCTTCACACTACAGCATCCCCACAAAAGTACCTAAGTTGCCAAATCTAGTTTATTAGATGAATGTATTTTAAATTTTTTTTTTCTGTATAATTTCTAATAAATATGTRAATGAAATCAGGCCAAGCAGAATCAAAAGGAGTTAAAATGAAGAATCTAGAGCATCTCTGCKATGAGTGACACATCTCAGAGTGTTTACCTACGAGAAGAATTGAGTAGGCTCAAGGAAGACCTCCATCAGTGTATATAAATACTTGAATGGAGGGTGCAAAGAGGACAAAGGCAGGCTCTTCTCAGTAGTGCTCTGTCACAGGACTAGAAGCAATGGGCAGACAGAGAAATATAGAAGGAAAAAGTCTTTTAAGAAAAGTTTGAGGATAGTCAAACACAGGAAGACAGGTTGTGGAGCTCCTACCCTCGGAGATATTTAAAAGCCATCTGAACATTGTTCTGGGCAACCAGCTGTAGGTCRTCCTGCTTGAGAAGGGCAGATGAATGAAATGACTTCTACTGGATCCTGCCAACCTTAACTATCCTGTGATAAATGGATGAATTATTACCAGTTACGCACAATTATGTAAGCACAAAAAAAAAAAGAAGTAATGACTAAAAAATAAAATACTTCCATATTAATTAGAGTAATATTGGACAATATTTGTCAATAATATTTGTCCTATAATACACCTAAAGGCATAATGAGACTAGAGGGCTCACTCTACCAAGTTCAGCTATCAGGCCTAARGACAGCCCAAAATGCTTACACATAAAACTCAAACACACTTGCAACACTTAAGTATAAAACCGTATACATAAATTTTCAAACTCCCCCCACCCCATTCATTAAGTTCAGAGAAGAAATTTCCACTGGCAAACTCTATAGCTATATCAGTGAATAATGTGAGTGGAAGCTGAAACAACCATCATCAGAGCAAAAGGCAGAGCACAGTCTATTTTAATTCTTGATCTGTCCTCTAAGGAATATTACAATCACAGAAACACCTCCTAGGTTATATAGTTTGCCTGCCAGTCTCCTTCCCTACAATAATTTTTAACACTTGCTTTGGCCAAGTTAAGAGCAAAGTGTTGCATTTAAAGAAAATGAACTTATTATGAACTCCCTCAGTATTCTGCAGTACCCAATGGATGCTGCTGCTGCACTGTGTAACAGGGAAGGTGACAAATTGTTCAGACAACACATCAAGCCAAAACTGGTGAGTCAGCAACATACAGGGTCCCTCTAAGTGCTGGGCCCCAGTACAAATACTCCCAGCCCCTTGCTATAGCAGTGCCCTCTCCCCTGCTCAAGGCACAATCTCAGTATCTCACAGGTTTGAGAAGACCGATTGTACCACAGGGTAGTCATGTGCAAGAAACAAGCTGCAAAAGAGTAGGAGGTAATTATTTGAGCCTCTTATTTGAATCAAGCTTTACATCCACCCTGGTCTCTCCAACAATACTGTTGATCCCTTTCACCCTGCAGAGGATTTCAAAAAACAAGTCCAACCATGGTCACCTGAAAGTGCTCACAAAAAAATCAGAAAAAAAGTAACCCCAAAGGTGGTGGCTAAAAAACAAGTGACCATGATGAAAAACAAGTGAAGAAAATGCCAAAAAACTGATACAATCATCTTCTATCCAAGCACSCAGTTACATAGGATGAGTTGTCCCAAAAACAAGCTGCAGGGCTCCCGTTTATCACCACATACATGTGGGTGAAATATTTGTGAGGTGCTCTTCTACAGGGCAAGAGTTTCCTTGCAAGGTTTTCTCCACAAAACCTAAATAGCACAAAAGCAGAGAGTTCACCTTTCTAAACAGATGTGGGTGCTTAGCAATTGTAAAACAAAGTAATTTACTTAAATAACTGAGCACAGATTAAGGTACATTATTTTATATATAAACTTTTAAAATACTGTGACTGCTTGATGATATTATTTAATAGTGACAGAATCCTCACACATGGATTTCAAAAGCAAGTCCCCTTTGAGGGATTTGCATTTGCTACATAAGCATCTATGTGAATGTACAGGTGTGCATGTACATACCCTGTATACGTTACCTACATATGTAGTAGGTAAGGACAGAAAAGGCCTAAGATAGGAAATTAACAYGTTTAAAATATCATTAGTGTGAGAATAAATGCAGTTATACAATGCAATGGTCTGTAACATTCAGTATAGCAAAAATTGTTAGGAATGAGTAAAGTATTTTGTTAGAAATGCCCATATATGAAATCAAAGACAAACAGGAAAATCAGCAAAGTTACAACAGTTCAGAAACATTGTGAAGCCATTTCACTGCAGTATTTCACCAGTGTTTCCACACACAGAGCATATACTTAATCTAGTCAYTCAAAATACAGTCTTCATAGAGCAGAATGAATTAGTCAAGAGCATATACAAATGAAGTTTTTGAAGAGGAATGTTACATTTTGTTACACTAGTGGGCCTTGCTGGGAGGAAAAAATGGGATTTTTTTTTTTTTATTTTTTAAGCCACACAAACCTTACTTTCCAACTCTTACCTATTTGTTTCCTGTACTGGTCAACAGGAGTCCTTGATGTAGAGGCATCTTTTCTACCCATTGTTTTCAATCCAAAAATCACTGTCCGCATCAGAAAAAAACCCAAAAACAAAAACCACAACATTATTCCTAAATAAATTAGTAACTAAATCAATTGCTTATAACATCAGAAAAACAGTAACAAGCAACATTTACATGATTATACACAAAGACATAAGCCTTCCCAGAGTACAATGAGACACTGGAGTTAATCATAATTATTCTGAAGACCATTGGATACATTCTAAACATACCTTTTTCTACTTTGCATGGGTTATTAACATTACAGAATGCCTGTTAGTTTGAATAAAAATAAAGAAAAAAGAAAGGACTTAAACTGATTGCACTGTAATTAAGCATTTGGTACCACTGAATTACATTCCTGTACAATTTATTTCTTTAGTAAACCAGGGAATGTAGTAYTGTGAGCTGCTGTCATTATTGGCAAATAGATTTACACCACATACAGGAGTCAGAGGCAGGAACAGGCATGGGTGCATCCACAGATGCAACTGCTCAGGACACCCTGCAGACACAGTCCTCCAGCCACCTTGAGTAAAGAGAGGAACAGATACCTACAACACAGCAACCTCACGCTCTCCTCCCTTCCTGCCATGAGCTCCAGATAGCTGTCAATAAAAAGGAAGTGGACAACACAAACTGAGAGCTGGAGCTGCGTACGTTTTACACCTCCCAGCCATAGTACTGATAGTTTAAATCACCTTCAATGCATTTAAGTAACAACCATCCTGACTCTTGAACGGGCTTATGTTACACAGTATAACTGGCACTAGTGCTGCACAGGGAATTGCACTATCATCCACACAAAGATGTTCTTTCTGGTGTAGTGGTGCTTCCACTCCATTCATGTAACTGAACAAGCACCATCTGAATAGTGCTCTCACATATCTTTTAACATGCAAAACCCTTTGGTTTTATTTCATCCTCTCACAGGCTGCCACTCAAGTGGCAGATTCTACAAATCTCATTTGATGCTCATTTCACCTCTTTTTCTCTAGTTAAGAAATAACTGGCTCTTACAGTCATGCTTATTGCTCAAAACACTGGGACTGAACCATTTTGTCTGGGCTCAAGACATTACTCACCACAGTGATGATAAGCCCCACCATCTGACTGCCTCTATGACACAAGAGTCCCAACATCAACACCCATACTCATGAGAGGACTGACATTTTCAAGCAGTGTCAGATTTACTGTTCAAGCACAGCAGCCAACCCTTGCTTTTTCCCAACTGGCCCTGGCGAGCACCGTGCCAAGGGCAAACCTTGGCTGAATCATCCTGGGTAGCCACAAACCATGTGCAGATTGTGCACATATGGCCGTAGAGTATCTGCAAGAGCTGTACTTTTCTGTTAGGCATAATCAGCTGTGCTACAGCAAGATGAGCTTCCCTGCTCACTGCCAAGGCACGCTTTCTGGGAAGTGCAGCCCTGGAAGACACTGAGATGCCAAATCACGACCCAAAAACATGTCACAGCAATGTTGAACTGGCTACTGCCAGCATCCCAAACTTTAAGCATTCACCATTATTTCGTCCATAGCATTGAACATGATTTAAAAATATAGTTGCAGGAATGACTCCCACCAGTTATTTGTGCATTTTAAAACCACAAAGTTAATTATTTTAGATTTATTTATTCTATAGGAATTACTGGCATTTAATGCCAAGTGACAAATCCAAGCTTCGTAATTTTATGTGTRGGACACAGCATCAAATGAACTTGGATGCTCCAAAGTCAGCAACCATTTTAAAAATGCATTCAGGAATAATAGCAAGGTATAAAAGAGTGTCACTAATTTTTAATCTGCAGTGAAATTTAGGTTATAGTGTTCTAATGTTTCCATACATTACTTCAGTTGAATTCAGAGAATACTCTTTTTTATGTGAAACACGTAACAGTGAACAGTGAATTCAGTGGGTTGCATTTCTTTCCCCCTCTATTACGCTTCACAGAAATTCTCTAGACTGGGTTGTATTTCTCACATAACATTCACATCATAATAATTAGAGTGGAAAAATAAAAGTAGTGTTTGAACTTTCAGCTAATTGAGGAAGTAACAGATACATTTTTCCCCTACAAAACTAGTTCTTGGTTTTTTTATGCCACTGTTAAGAGACTGTTTTGACTTGCCTTTTGCAATTTCCATAGTCTACTAATGGTTTATAACAAAACACCAGCTGTGAAAGATGTTTCCAGTTTTAGTAATGCCAATAGAACACATGAAGAAAACACAAGCAAAAATGATTTCCTGACTTAATATGAGTCACAGATACTCGCATTTGCCCACGTGGCTCAGTGTCATGGACTCTCACATCTAGAACCTCCACTCCTCTTTGTTCTTCAAAGGGATGCAGTAATCATCATTCATTTCCACTGCTTTGATGGGTAGATAGCAAATTCCTGAGAAACCCATGGAGACATTGGCATACAGAGCCCAGTGTCTAATAAGACAGATATTTGCATAGAAGATCAGCCACAATTTAGAATGCATTATGATAGATGTGGAAAGGGAATTAGCATGTACAAAAAATATTAGCATGTACAAAACTGAGATTGTTTTCACAATTTAATTCCTTGGGACTACTGCGTCCCCATCACCCTTTCTTGTAAGCTCATCACCCTTTCTTGTAAAGAATTCCACATTCCCCAAGGAAGCAACTTACCATGAGCCAGACTTAAGCTAAAATATGGATTAATAAGAGCTAATATTTATTATTTATGAACCATGCTGTAAGAGTGATTTTCAATGCAATTTTTTGACCATTTCTCAATAAAGYCTGAAATCTTAGTGAGTCATAAAACTAATTCTCCCCATCTAAAATAACAGTGGTCATCCTACAATAATTGATTATTTTTACTGTAAAAAATCTGTACTCAGGTCTTTGACCATTTTGCTGCCTCTGACATCAGCAAATGGGAGGATCAGGCTTCTCCTGTATTTCTTTGCCAAAYGAAAGGGATAGGCCTCACACTGTGCTGCATGAATCCCAGGCAGCCTTCAAGTCCCTGGAGTTTTACTGAGGACATAACCACCAAAAAAAAAACATGTAAAAGAGGTTGTCACTGCTCCTTCTACTTCAGAAGTAATTTTGGATAATAGGAAAGCAATCTGAGCCATCCTCAACTTCAAGCTTCTATAAAAGATGGTTTTAAGAAAACAAAGCAAGGCCCCAATGAATGATTTTTTTTTTATTTTGTTTATTTCTACTTCAGAGATACATGATTAAAAGATACTTCTGTTTTTGTGGTATCCTTCAGTGCTTTTACACTACTTTTGGCTTCCCCTCTAGTAATTCACCTTTGAAAGTTTACACACTGAGAAAAACACGATTTTATTCTTCTCTTCTTTTACTCCTAAGGGGTGGCTGATAACAATTAAAATACATAATAAGTATTATTACAATTGTCAATAGCATTTCGTGAGATTAAAACCAGTACTGAGTATCTGTTCAAGGTGTGGCTAGACTTTTAAATTCCAATTCCCTGTTCTTGATGTATACATAGCATCTTCTACAACAATTAAAAAAAAATTAAAGCCATTACTTTAATGAAATAGAAACTTACTATGAATTACTTTAGAAATACTAACAAAAGTAAGAATACATTATATACACACTGACACTGCATTCTGTACATTATTGGTGCAATACAAATGATTAACARTGATAAGTCTTAAAATGTAAACCTGTGAGCACTCAAAAGACATGCATTTATGCAAGCGTACAAACTTTCTTAGCAGCAGTATTTGATAGTATGTCGACACTCTTCAGCAATAGGTTGCYTAAATATTAACAGGGGGCACATTAAAGAAATATTCAATTACTGGTTTTGTAGTTGAAACACAGTTAGTCAGCTGAGAGAAAAGCAAGTAAACCTTCAGGATAGAAAAGAACCACTATGGAATGAAAAGCTACTGGACCAAGTCTTCAGCATCTGTCTATATGCAGAAGTTCCTCATCTTTAATTGCAAATAGACATCTATCTTTAAAATAATTCCTATTTTGTTTGTTTTGTTCGATGTAATGCAGGTTGATCATCTGAACTCATAAACCAAGTAGTTTTTAATATGATTCAAAGATTCTRTGAAAACTTACTGATATTATTGAAGGAACTAGTCTTCTCCCAGTTAACTCCAGAGCTGCTTATTTAATAACTAATAGATATTAAAATATTTATAAATTACAAGAGAGCAAAAATAGCCTTTTATACACCTCAGGTAAAACTCAAGGAGCACATCAGATCCTCTGCAAACATCAAGTTGTTCCAAAGAACTGGTAGCACTACCTCTAAAGTGGGAAGCCATCTGCATGTAGGTATTTTGGAATCATTGATGCTGGTTATTTTAACTGGCTTTTTTTGTTGTACTGCTGAAGCACAGTTACTAAGGCCTGTCTACACAGCAGTGGAAGTACCCTGCAGCCAAAATTGCTAAAATAATGTAGATGAATTATTTAACCATACTGTAGTCAAGAGAAAGAATTTAAAAACCTTTATTACTATTACTACTACTTGGAAAAAACTTCTACAAACAAAAGAATGGAGAACAAAATACATTAATATTCTTTTGGTAAGTCTTATAGTAGTCTTCCATTCCTTGGAAAATCTCTATCAAAGGATGAGACTGTTATTTCAAAGGAAAGAGTACCCTGCCCATAGTGCTTCTTGTAGAATCYCTCTCTGCTTTATTTGGGGATTTATTAATTTTTCTTCTAATAAAAGGAATGCAATACTTCTTTACTTAATTGAACCTTGAAAGCAGCAGAGGTRATTTAATTAAATTTAGGAAAATTAATCAAAAAAACAGGATGCACAACTCCAGTCAGAACAAATRTTAAAATAATTTCAACTTTCTACACAAGGGCAACAAACACTATAACACATTCCAAGATTCAAACCACATAGGAAGTACAACTTTTACTCACGCATGTATCAGGCTGTTTCATAGCTTTACGAAAGCACTAGGAACAAAACACACCTTGTGACTTCCAGTAAGTGCCCTCTGCACTCTAGGGAATGGAG